ACTGAGCATTTAGATATGCCTGCATTTAGAAGCGAATACATGATTCAATATTAGCATTCTTTAAACTGTGTTCTAGCTGTTAATTGTATACAGTCTGCTTCCCCTTGTTACAAGCTATGAGCTGGGAAAATATAGTGTAGCAGTTTTGTGCATTTGTCTTCTGTGGAATATTTCAAAAGCAAAAGCGAACCCTCTGAATGATTTATGTCTTATAAATCAAGAGTTGTTGATGCTCAGTGCTTGGTGGAGCTAAATAAATGGTACTTTGTAGTAACAGTAAATATTTTCTGGGACTCTGTGCAATCTGGTGAGGGTCAGGGTGGGTTGCCAGTTAAGTCCAAAGGGGAAAAAATTCCATGATGTGAAGGGCTGGGCATCCTTTTGATGAGAATAAAGAGTTATTTACAGATGAAGTGCTCATTACAAGGTTAGCAGAATGAAAGCTGTCACTTTAATTTAGCCAGCAAGCACATTCTACTGTGGGAGGACCTGAAACCTACCTGAGGCCTTCAGAGAAAGAGAGAGAGAATGAATCAGGAGATGTTTGTACAAAATAAGCTGCTTAATTTTTTGGGGGGGGGGGAAATACAGTAAAACATGTTCTGATTATCACAAGTAAGTGGATGGGAAATGGAATGCATTATCCTCCAGCTGAACAAAGTTACAACTCTAAACACATTTAGGAGGCAAATACCCCCTTCAATTCATGCATGGCCCTTCATTTTTTGTATTTTTTTTAAAAAAATTTTTAGCCAACCTGCTTCAGATTGCACTCATGCCTATCTTTTCTGGAAACTGTTTGCTGAAAAGCAATGCCTGCGATCCCTATGGAGATGATTCCAAAGGCACAGAAAGTGGAATAAAAACTGAGACCACAAGCTCCCCTTTTGGGGGATAATCCCTGCCATCTCTCTCTGGTGTGTTAGTGTTCATTTGACTAAGCTTAAGCTCCCAAAAGGCATTTCCTTATTTTAATGAGAAATGTCCTACTTAGGGACGGTAAGTCACTGACAAAATATCTGCTATGTTCTGTGTCCCATCGCTTATATGGCAATGCCACAAGTGGCAGGCGCAGGACTTCTTCCGCTGGTGCCAAAAGAATGAGAATGTGTTTTCCCCAAACTCAGCCAAATTTACCACTGTCAGCCGCTAGTTAGCTAGACAGTCAAACAGACTGACAGCTCTCTTTTCTCCCAGGTGGCCCATAATCTGAGCAGGGGAGAGCTTGCGTGAAAATTAGAGGGTGAAACACACAATTCCTACTTGAATTGTAAGCCTGCTCTACACATATATCTGTTCTACATAAACCAATTCTCATGTCCTGAAGGAAAGTAGTAACTCGAGCACAGGACAAAATCCAGAGCAAGAGAGGACAGGTTTTAGATTTGTAGGATCTACTTGGAAGAGCAGGTATGATGGTACCCACAGCAGTGCTCACAAGCGGAATCATAAAATCCAGGCATCTGGATCAGTCCATATTAGCAACAACAAAAAAAGTTCTAATAGCTTTTATCCCCTCTAGGAGTGGGTCTTTTGTAAACCTAATTTATTTTGATTGTCCATTAAAATTCAAGCCTCTCTAAGACACTGGGGAAACCCATTGCAGTATAAGGAACAGTTGCTGGAGATACTCATTTTTCCCCCGTTGTTACTGTGGGGACCTCAGCTAAAATTAGAGAGAGGAGGGAAACCTGGGGTGGTAGTGGCGGATGTCTTAGTGCCAGCTAATCAGAAAGTCCCAACACCCTGACGCTGAAAGGCTTGGCTCCCTTACACCACTGCCTAAGGTTAAGCATATGAGGGACAGAAGATTTTACTGACCAACTGCTGCTCCACTAGAGAGACGGTACAGCATACATTCTGTCTTCTCCCACTCTGTTCTAGATTACACTGTGAATTCATGTGTCCTCTTTCAAATGATACTTTGAGATCATGATCAGAGCACACATGCATTAATAGAATGAACATCATAGAAATACCGAAATGTAGAACTGTCAAGAAGTTCTTCCTAATATTTAGGCAAAGTCTCCTTCCTTGTACTTAGAATCCACTTACTTGGGGTCCTGCCCTCTAGAGCTACAGACAACAAGCCTGCTCGATCTTCCACATGACCCACCTCCACCTGAGCAAAGGCTGGCTGTCATCTTCATATACTGTAACAGACTATTCATAAAAGATGGACGTGCCACAGCTTCCTGAGAGAAAATCGGCTTGCGGAGACTTCTGCCAGCCAAAGAAGTTGACTCTAGACTAGACAGTCTAGCTGGGTAAAGCAACTTCTAATGCATACTGGCTCATTCAGCTGATAAGCGCCTGATGGTGCTCTTTTTTGGCGGAGAAAACCAATTTAAAGCTGATGATATTTTTAAAAGGACTACTGATCATCCGCTGAGATACTTGAACCAATATATACATTTACCCAACCAAAGCCGACAAAACGCATCATTTCCACAATCAGAAAACGGCATGATATTTCTCATGAGGAAGGATGTGCGTCCTTCGGCAGCAGGCAATAAAAGTGCGCAGGGCCGTTTGAAACCCAGGTGGGAACAAGAGGATCAGGTTGGAATAAACAAACAAATTAGATTTCAGGAAGGGTGTCGGTTCTCCTAGGGACAGACAATTCAAGTGAAAGCTCTATTAATTTGGAATGGGTGAATATCGGGAATACGAGGGTGTCTTGCGACAATACATAAACGAGGAGGAAGAGCTGATGAAAGTAGGACGGAACAGAAAACAACAGAATTGTTTGACACAGACTCGTAGGTTCGTTTAAAACCACATAAATCAGGAGGGGCGTTTCTCTCTTTATGAATTCTTTCATGGGGAATATCATCGCTCTGAAAGGGAAATACATGTTTATACCCTTAAAAAACGGTGTGACTGCAACTTGGATCGTGATTGTTGTGTTGTGTTATTTTTGAAGGCATAGCCCCCTCTTTCCAGCTTCATAGCAACTGAACAACAGATGTGCAGGAAGCCCCTCTGAAGCAGTTAATCACCCTCTCGCCGAGGCTGATAACCTTTCTGAAAATTGGACGGGGCGGGTTACATTAAGACAGAGGCAAGTGGTCTCCTCAGCTGCTAATTCCGGACAGTCCTCTATTACCCTTGCTCGCTTCCCAGCATTTAACCACTCAATTAACCAGAGGAAAGGTGAACTCCCGGCGAAGCTGCCCCCAGACGATCGCGATGCCCTGCTTAATTCTCCCTTTCATTGGCCAGCTTGGATTGAGCAGCACGCACATGGTCGGCCGGCAGAGTCTCGTTCGCTCCACTGTAATAATATTGTGGGCAGAATTGACATTGCCATATTAGAAGGCTTGGCGGGAACGGGCGGGCGGGGGAGGACCGAGGAACGAATTCCCAGTTCAGTTAATCCAAGCTCTTGATTATCCATATTCTAGGGAGGGGGAGGGTGCCCTGGCGTTGTAAAGAAAAGGTTCTGGGGCCTGCTGGGGATGATTACATGATTAAGATAATACGGTTTGAAGGGTCTGTGTTCTCCCTCTTAATTTGGATCATTACTCAGAAAGCAAGCGTGAGATCATTTCATTAGGGTTCATAGGTTACCAAAATAACAATAACAATAACAGGAGGATGATTTAAACCCCCTCTTAGAGATGGCACATTGTAGTTGGATGAGGCACCGTTTAGCTTCCAATTTCTAGATACAGTACGTACACTCGGAAATAATAATAATAATACTACAGTAATTTAAATTTGTGGCTCTCTTTCCCTCCTGCTTCCCGCGCGCAATAGATGGAAAGAAGCCACCGAGATGGGAAGCTGGTTCCCCGCCGCCACCACTATCATCAACCCGGCGGCGATGCGAAACAACAACAACGACAACACCACAACCCCGCACGGAACCGAACTGGTGGTGGGTGTTGGTGGCAGATGCCTGGGGAGGGGAAGCCCCGGGCTTGCCATGATTGCTTGCTTGCTTGCCGGCGGCGGCGGCCTTCCCCAGTCGACGCTGCAAAGCCAGATTGCCTGAACCGCCGCCTGTTTTTACAATAAAACGAAACGAAACGAGCTGCGCTCCACGCTCCCTCCGGATGCTCGAAGCTGCGTTTTAACGTTGGGTAACGAGCATTTGAAAAAAGAAGAGAAATCAGGAAAAAAGTCCAATGTACCAGACTCGGATTCCTCATCCTGGGTCTACAGAGGTGGATTTAGGATTACTGCGATCCTAAATCCATCTCTGTAGACCCAGATCCTATTTGACTAAGCAGGCCGCCGAGGAACTCTGCGCTCCAGAAGGAGCTCAAAACTCTCTCCTCCACTTAAAGGAAGGGGGGCGGCGGGAGGGATTGTCGCTCTAAATTTCCGCAGTCGTTAGTACACCTCGCCAAGATGCTGGCCTCGGCCTTTCAGTGTGCTGTTCCGGATTAGCTTGGTTCACACAAGGCACAGAATCCGTTTGGACTCCCTGTTAAAACAGATCCTTGCCTCCTATGTCGGCGAACTCCTTATCTGGCAAAACTCCGCTTTGGAATGGAACGGGAAGAGCCCGGTGCATAAACACATTGAACTATTACCTTAAAAAAAATATTAAATGTTGATTTTAAAAAAGAGCAGTCGCCACCTCCACTTTAATAATTCGGGGGAGGGGAGAAAAGCTTGAAATAAAAATCCTGTTTAGCGACTTTTTATTGCCTCATAAATGATAAATTCCTTCGTTATTTGAGTGTACATTAAAATTTGAATTTACAGTCGTATATACATCAGGAACGACTGGCTGCCCCCCCAACCCCGCACCCCTCTATCTTTCGAGTCCGGAGGTCACTGGGAGAAACCTTGCCTTGAGTTCAAGCGAATTCCGCAGCGATTTCCCCTCGTTGAATCCGTAGCAGCAAGGGAGTTTTAAATAAGTTTCTCTTGGCAATATATATATCTATATATCTGTCTTTATACATATATATATATTTATATTTATATATATATAGAAATATATATAGAAAGACGCACGCACACGCACACGCAGACGCGCACACACGGAAAAACGATGGTCTCAGCAGCTTGGAGATCGGCTTTGGTGGTTGTTGGTGGTTGGTTTCTCGGGAGGAAAGATCTCTGGGAGTCTTTCGCTGGGAAGAAGGCGCTGGGGTTGATCCGCGCCCTCCCTGCACCGCTCGCCCGCCCGCCCGCCTCCTGTCCAGCCCGGCTGCCCCCGCCGCCCGTCTAACTTTGCGCGGTCCGACAGAGCTCTTTGGCTGCGGGCGCGGCGGCGGCAGCGGCGACCGTGTCGTGCAGCTTCCGCACGTGTTTCTTCAAGTCAAAGTTCCTGCAAAAGCCCTTGCCGCAAGTGACGCAGGTGAAAGGCTTCTTGTCGTTGTGCGTGTGCATGTGGAAGGTCAAGTTGTAGATCTGGTGGAAAGCTTTGTTGCAGATGGTGCACTTGTACTGCTTCTCGCCGCTGTGAGTCAGTTTGTGGTTTTTATAATTCCCTGTGGGCGGAAAAAGAGAGAGGGGGGGGAAACCCAGAAGGTTAATTTCTCGAGGAATTCTTCGGAGCCCGAGTGCTTCTCTTGCCTCCCCACCTGCTCAAATTTAGCATAGGATCGTGAGAGGCGAGTGTGCGCGTGAGAACACACACACACACACACACACACACACACACACACACACACACACACACACACACACACACACACACACACACACACACACAAGGAGAGGCTGGAGAAAAACGTCTCTGTTGCAATACTTCATTAGGAAGTGTCCTGCAAGGGACAGTCAAGAAGTTGTCAAACTCATTCTGTGTCAAGGCGGAAGAGTAGGCAACTGACGAATTAAAAAATTAGAGACCGGGTCAGCGTCCTGACCCAGAGCAAATGGGAGAACCTGGATTAGGACCAAAAAGAGGGAGAGATGGAAGGGGGGGAAGGGATGGAAGGCCACGACACTTCCAATTTAAAACCTTGTGGCCGAGATTGTGAGGAATTTCTAGACGTTTCCAGGCAGGGGAGAAAAGAAAAGGGGGGGGGAGGGGATCAGGGCAGGCGCCTCCAAAACTTTTATCTCCTCAAGCTCCTCGCGTTGAGGAAAATCGGTGGCGAAAATTGACGACCTCGTCCTTCGTTTTAAATTCAGCTGAAGGACTTTGATTCGTAGCAAATTAAGCCTTTTAACGCCACCTTTGGTTCACGAGGGAGAAAGTAAGGCGCAGGCTTCGCTCTCTCCATTCCATCAACGGATTTTTTAAAAATAAAATAAAATACAACACACTTTCTTTTCGGATGGATCGCGCCCTAACTATACGGAATTCGTTTACATCTAGTTCATAACAATTGACGGGCTGAACCAGCCCTTGGTTGTAGTCCAAGGTTAAGCGCCCAAGGACGTTAGAGCTCCAGGAAGGAGGGGGGGGGTGTCAGTTTCCTCGCAGACCCCAATACACTAAATACGGTGGTTAAGTTTTTGGAATGCGAAAGAATCAAAATATTCCGTTTGGAATCTTCGCAACGTTTCTGTTTGGAACGTTCAGCTCAGAAACTGACCAGACGCCACAAAACCGGTGGGATTTTTTTTCGTCTTCACTACATTCTTTCTCTCTCCATTTAAAAAAAAAGGGGGGGCTCCCAATTCATATTTTTATCCGCCCTGCGTCGAACAATAAACGGCAGAAACAAGCCAGATTCCGGCAGTCGAAGAACCAATTTAAAAACACTTCAAAAACATCTATACGGTTACTTCGCTCCCCTCCGCCCCCTCCCGCTCTCCATCCTTTGTTAAAAAAATCGAAATAAAACAAGAACAAAACCTTTTTGCCCGAAATACCTTTTTGGTGAAATCCTTTGCCACAAAATTCACAAACGAAAGGTTTGTAGCCCGCGTGGATCCTAATATGAGTGTTTAACGTGGAACTTCTATTGAAGGCTTTGCCACACTGGCTACATTTATGGGGCTTTTCCTGTTGGGGGGGAAAGGATAACTTTAAGAGACAAAAGAAGGGGGCAATGAAATGGTCCTCCAACTGTTGCGTCGGAGCCGCTCCCCCCCCCCCCCCCGCTGGCTAAGGGCCGGCGTTGACAAGTTTATTTTCAGGGAAGGATTAAAACAGGCAGACGCCCAGCGCTTCCCGTCTTCTAATCCATCGTACCTGCGTGTGGATGATTTTGTGTCTACAGAGAGTGCTGGCCTGGCGGAAGCCTTTCCCGCAAACTTTGCACACGAAGGGCCTGGCTCCCGTGTGGACCGGCATGTGCCGGGTGAGGTTATAATGGGCGTTGAACACCTGCGAGGAAACACAAGGCCGGAGAGGTCACCCCCGGTGAACTTGCGTGGAACCGGAATGCATCCCCCTTCCCTCCTCCCCCCCCACCAGCCGACTAAAATTTGGGCCAAAGGACGGGCAAGGCAAGGATTTTCCTCTCGACATTTTCCAGAATAATCCCCCCGGGTGCCCGCCGGGATTAAAGTCCCCGGACATCTTTTGCCGCTTAACCTCGGTGTCACCCCCGCCCCATCCCGTCTGTAAAATGGGATCGCGACCATCTTTAGCGTCTCTACAGCGTCAGAGCAGTGGGCATCAGGCGACGGGGCGATTTTATTCATTAAGCTGTTTCTAAAACAGCGTTCATGCAGGGTGGAAAGCGCTTCTTTCCCCCTGACGCCTCACACCCCACCGTCGAAATAAGTCTTATACGCGGCTATCTTGGAGGTTTAAAACGTGAGCTAAGATTGAGGAGCCCCCGTTTTGGTTCTCAACTCCGCCCGGACCTTCTAAATCTGATTAATAGTCGTAGCAGTGAAGATGATGGTGATGACGATATTGCCCTACCCATAATAATTATAATGAGGAGAGGAAGTTGGAAATGGGTGGCCTCTGCCAGGGGATAGCGCCCCCCCACTTTATGCCACAGCTGAACTTAAAAAAAAAAAGCGATTATTTTTTGTTTAAATGGTGGGTCAACCATTAGGGAAAGGACTAAGGCCGCGTAGGTCTCCTGGGGTTGGTCCCACCAAGTGAACGCCCGAGGGCCGGGGTAGCCCAGCTCCGCGCCGGCGCCCTCGGGTGCCTCCCTTGCCCCGCGCCCGGCCGGGCTCCTTCCTACCTTGCCGCACACCTCGCAGGTAAAGTTCTTGGGCTTCCCGTCGGCCGAGGCTCCGCCGCCGCCGCCGCCGCCTCCGCCTGGCCCGAGCTTCCCGTGGTGGCCTTTGCCGACGCCGCCGACGTGCCTCTCGCCCCCGACCAGGCGGCCGCCGGGTTGGGCGAGTGGAGAAGGCTGGAGGCGAAGAGCTGGCCGTGGAGCAGCTCCGACGGGTGGTACGAGGCCGAATCCAGGTAGTTGAAGTAGTAGAGGCTGCTAGATCCGTTGGCCGGCATCGCCAAGGCCTGGTTGATCACTTGCGGCTTG